TATATACACACACACACACACACACACACACACACATAACATTTTCTTTATCCATTCATCAATCAATGGACATTTGGGCTCTGTCCATAATATGGCTATTGTTGACAGTGCTTGGTTGTAATATGGAAAAGCAAAATCAACAGTCTTCCTATTTACAACAACAACCAAATTTAGAATGTGATATAAAAGAAATTTTAAATTTTTCTCAAAACCATGAAAATCGTTTTTCTTCCCAGCCTTCCCTCCTTTGGGTGTGGGGGATTCTTTCTGTCCTGTGATTCTGGAAGACACCAGTGTCAGAGCCCTGTGGGGCAAATGCAAACCAGATAAATTAAACTCTCTGCAAGAATATAAATTCTGATTGGAGACACCAAAGGTAAAAGGGGATTTGAGAAACGTCAATACAGTGATGAATCCTAAAGAAATTGCCCTGAAATCTGTGTAAATGCTCTGTTCTTGTCCTTCCCAAGGCCTAGTGGTTCAACTAGTTCTAAATTTTGTGAAAAAGCAAACTTTTTTTTTTTTTTTTGCTTATATATGCTTGAGTCTATTTCTACAGCCTGCAACCAAAGAACCCTGATACACAGTATGTAGCAATGGAAGAGCTCAATTGCTCATTCATGAAGGTTGGTACTCTACCCCTAATAACCTCCCTCCCCTCCTTCCTTGATAAGAAAACCCACTGTTTCCTTTAGCAATGTATACATTCCCAAAGAGACAACTGCTTTCTCAACCTCCCTAATCCTATGGTTGTAGTGTAACACAGTTCTGGCTGATAAGACATAAGATAAAGTTAGGCTTTCCTGATAAAGGGGAGCCTGCTTCAGATCTGTGTCTCCCTCTTCCTCTGCCCCTCCCCTGCTCACACTCTGAGGCCAGCAGAGTGAATGCTATCATGGGCTGTAATCATAATTGCAAATTAAAAATTCGCTTATACATTTTACAAATTATACATACATATATATTCATATCTATATATCTAGATGATAGATAGATAGATAGATAGATAGAATGGAATAAAAGGTTTACTTCTAAAGGAATAAGTAGTGTGAACTTCAGAGAGGGAATCTGGTTTCAGAGATACTGGTTTTCAATCTGGAATACTAGGGCAGGCATGAGACATGAGCCTCACCTAAAGGCAGCAGAGGAGAAAAGTAAGAAAGAACCAATAGAAGGGACAATCCACAGGATTTCAAAGATAAGTAGTCTAAGACCAAAAGGATGGCCCTAGTTATTAACACAACAGTTTCACATCCTGATGAAGGGTTAATTATTTCAGGAATACTGTGAATAGTAAGGGAAGCCAGATATTGTGACAGCTGCAGCAGACACAAGATGCTGACCCAGGACCCCAGGGACAGCTGCTGAGTTCTCATGTGATTTCACAACTATTACTAGTTATCTGAAAACCTGTGTGCAAAATGGCTCCACCTGTTTGAGGGAGAATGCAATTAAATTCTAGTGAAAATGTGTACCCCAGGAGATACCAGTGGCTTCTAGAAGTATATTTTCTCCTTAAATCATTATACTAATGCCTGAAGTACATATTTGGACTGAAAATGTATTGTTTTTAAGACACTTTGGGGCACCTGGGTGGCTCAGTCGGTTAAGCGTCCTACTTCAGCTCAGGTCATGATCTCGTGGTTCATGAGTTCAAGCCCCACGTCGGGCTCTGTGCGGACAGCTCAGAACCTGGAGCCTGTTTTGGATTCTGTCTCTCCCTCTCTCTCTGACCCTCCCCCGTTCATGCTCTCTCTCTGTCTCAAAAATAAACGTTAAAAAAAAATTTTTTTTAAGACACTCTGTTTTCCACACATGAACTTCCGGTAAATTTTCTATATGAATAAAGGATTGTCTATGCATAAGAGAAAAGATATGCTACACTTTAACATTAATTAACACCCAGCACATTGCCCCTGTAAAACATCCTTACCAATACCAGGGACATCTCCTTCTTGGTACAAAAATTTCAATGTCTTACAACCATCTTTCATAAAAAATTGAGCAAATGCGTCCAGCTGTTAAATAGAAGAGAAAATGATGATCAATACGTGACTAGAGAACTACAAAAAAATGAACCAAGCCCTGGGCTAGGCATTTTACATACCTTCATCCTCATCATTTTGCAGACTGAAAAAAACAAAAAGAAGCTCAAAAATTTTACTCGAGATACATAGTGAGTGACAGGTACATCAGAATCAGGATTAGAATTCAAACTAATTTAACTCCAAAATTACCACGAGATATATGGTAGATTCTATTTCTGAACCCCATTAATGATCTACAAATATAAGTAGGCAACCACTTACCTGACCCTGCCTCACAGAATCTTACAGGAGTAAATGAATGAGTCCAACTTCAGGTAAATATAAAGAACTATGATTAAAACAAACTACTCTTAAAAGCTGACTTGGGAAACAGAAAACTTGCCTTATTAACTAACTCGGTGACCAAAATTGGTTTTTTTGACCAATTATTGGAGTAATTATGTTTTCAGCACTTGTAATTTGACCCATACTGTAGCCAAACTAGTGTAAAAACAAATTATTATAATGAGAGTGTCCCATATTTATGAGCATGAAGCTCGTATTTAATTACTTTTAAGTCAGCGTAACATCTATGTAAGTGGAAAACTAAATAGGTCATGTAAACAAAAACCCTCACACATCAATTGGGAAATACAAAGTTACTCAACCCACTTCACCTAGTCCATTGATTACATACATAAGTGTCTCTCTTGGGCAGTGGGTTTCTTTTCACTTATTGACCATGTGTGGGAGGTATCCCAGATCTCGCAAAGCCTCTACCCCTAGGACAATGGTTCTCAAACATTAGTGTGCACCAGAGAAGAACCTAGGGAGCTTTTAAAAGACACAGAATGCTGCAGGGCCCCTGGGTGGCTCAGTGGGTTAAGAGTCCAACTTCAGCTCAGGTCATGATCTCATGGTTCGTGAGTTCGGGCCCCATGTTAGTCTCTGTGCTGACAGCTCAGAGCCTGGAGCCTGCTTCAGATTCTGTGTCTCCTTCTTTCTCTGCCCCTCCCCTGCTTGCTCTGTCTCTCTCCCTCAAAAAAAAAAAAAAAAAAAAAAAAAATACAGACTGCTAACCCTGAGGACTTGCATTTCTAAAAAGGTCCAGGTGATGTTGATGCTGCTGGTTCTGGGACCACGTTTGGGAACCACCGCCCTAGGAAATGAAACAGAGCCACAGAGATGTACAAAATTCTAGCCCTTCATTTTCTATTCTTCCATCTCACATATCAGCTTGACTCTTGCATAATTACAATCCGAAAGATACGAAAACTGTCAGCACAGCTATCCTTGCCAAGTTCCATAAATTCTTTCTTGCTCTATCTGATTTTATGACCCATCAGATTTGAAAGCATCCAAATTCTCAAAAGTAGAGCTCATACTTATGATAAAAAGGCATCAAAATATCAAATGCGACAAATTCTTGGTTTTTAGACATACTGTATTCTGAGACCAGCAGAGTGAATGCTGTCATGGGCTGAAATCACAATTGCAAATTAAAAATTCACTTATCCATTTTATAAATATTTCATCTGAGCTTCACCACAGCCTTGCACTAACTAAGGGTGGCATTATTATGCTGCTCTTGCAGAAGACAAAAACCAAAGCTAAAAAGAATTTGAGTGAAAAACCCAAAGACACATAACTGCAAGTTCAGAAACCTGGAATTGGGTGCCAGCCTTGGGCAACCAGAGCTGCGCTCCATCCACAGAACCACAATGCTGTTGCCTTGACTCTGTCATGTAAGCCAGCAAAGCAAGATAGTCTGTGATTATCCTGAGCAGTGCTGAATGAAGGGAGCAGCAAGAGCATGAATACCAATGTGGTAGAAACCTCACTGGTAGAAACCTCATTGATCAGGGTCCTGGTAAGAAAAGAAGTCTCAACAAAGGGGTTTGGAAGAAACTTTATGATAAAGAGGCTACTGCCAGAGGCCAGAGCAGGGTTAAGGGAAGCTGTGGCACGAGCAGCAACAACAGGACTATCAACAAAGGAAAAAGAAGTACCAAGGCCTGAAAGTGTGATGACTGGGTGAATGGTGTATCTGGATGCAAGTGGACACAGAGCTGTGGGAGAAGATCTGTTTGGGAAGGACTCTAGTAAGAGGATATGACTGTAGCCAGAAAAATAGCCAAACAGGCAGAAATAAGACTTCTCTCCCCATCAGCCCTCTAATCTCCTGCTGGTGCTTCCTAGTGACTGAGTCACATGGAAGCCGGAGAGCAAAGGAGCCCAGGTGATGGGTTCTCGAGAGGTCAGCTTTCTGGGCCACAGAGTAGGGTGGTGAAGGGTGGGCAATAGATCTGAAGGCAAACAAAATAACCATCACACTCTCACCGTCACCCTTTGTGGGGACTTTAATGAGCTGCTTTCAGGCTTCATTGTTACACCAGGTTTCACATAAAAGGAAAACCTTTTCATATACCCAGTTTCCTAAACCACTACACCAAACCATTCTACCCCTCGTTCCTGGTTCCATCTTCTTACTCACCTGTCCACCAATCTTGATGCCAATTCACTATAGGTACTTTCTTGATCCGTTTGACCAAATAAGCATTCTTATCTCTCCCAGATTTAGAGATTGGTTTCCCCCCTGGCTGTACTATCTCCACTCCACCGTGGCTTTGCAACTAATAAACAACTCTTACTGAAACACTTTTCCTGGTTTGATTCTTCCCTTAAGATCTAGGTTTCCCTAGATTTCCTAGATGGGCAGCCTAACCAGTGTCTAACCTGGTCCATGGTGGCCTCAAAGGAAGAACCTAACCACACAGACCCAAAATACAAGACACTGTCCAGGAATGACAAATGAAAAGGTTTGCAGGCTTATGATACTCTCACTTCCTGGCCAAGAGCCTACCCAGTGAGAAAGACTTCTTCCATACATAGACTATCAGCCCAGAAAGCCAGCTGGCAAATATTTAAAAGTGAGATGACCAGCTCCACAGGCACCCATCTCGATGTAGTCCTAGCAGCTGTCCTTCTCCGACATTACTAGCCAGCGCCAATGTATATGCCTAAATCTTTTACAGAGCTTCTGGGATTCCAATTGTGGGATTAACCAAATTTACGGCCTAGAAATTTTCAGGTGAAACAAGTTTGATTACCTATCTTGCTGTACAAGTGGTATCATCCACAGCAAGAACAGGCTACAGAATGTGTGGGGCCAGTGCAAAATGAAAATGCAGGAACATTTGTTAAGAAATTAAGGTTTGGTGCACCTGGGTGGCTCAGTCACTTGAATGTCAAACTCAGGTCATGATTCCAAGTCAAGGAATCAAGCCCTGCATCAGGCTCTGTGACGAGCATGGAGCCTGCCTGGGATTCTCTCTTTCTCTCCCTCTGCCCTCCTCCCCTATTCTCTGTCTCTCTAATAATAAAATGAATATTAAAAAAATTAAGAAATTTTAAGACTGTTAACTATAGAGAACAATGGATGGTTACCAGAGGGGAGGTAACTGGGGAGATAGGTTAAATAGGTGGTGAGGATTAAGGAGTGCATTTATTGTGATGACCATCAGGTACTGTATGGGAGTGTTGATGCACTAAATTCTATACCTGAAACTAATATTACACTGTAAACTAACCAGAATTTAAATAAAACTTAATTTAAAAAAAGTATTTAGAGCACCAAATTCCTGCTTTATCACAGCTCATTGGATGGTTGCCAAATTTATTCTCAACCCACCAGGAGTCTGAGGTTTCATTTTCTAGAAAGGTCTCTGGACAGCAGGATGCCAAGCACAAACCCTAACCCTGACCCTAGCCTTAACCCTGACCCTAAACCTACCCCTACCCCTACCTCTACTGGTAACCCCTAAACTCTACCTCTAAGCCTACCTCTAACCCTAAACCTAACCTCTAGGGAGGTCTCTTAACTTCAGGATATGAGGCACATACCCTCACCCTCACCCTAACCCTAGCTCGAACCTAATCCTAACCCTAAGCCTAACCCTAACCCCTAACTGTGAACCACTAACCCCTCACCCGAACTATAACCATAACCTTAACCCTAAACTTATCCCTGTAGAGAAGTCTCTGAACAGCAGGATAACAGGCACATACCCTTACACTGGCCCTAGCCATAACCCTAATTCTTATCCTAGCCCCAAACTAACCCTAATTCAACATCGAAGGGTAAAAAAAAAAAAAAAAAAAAAAAAAAAAAAGAAAAAAGAATTGGCATACATCTATAATGAAATATTACAAAGCAATGAAAAAGAACGAAATCTTCCCATTTGCAACAACATAGATGTAGCTAGAAAGCATTACTTTAAGTGAAAACCTAATCATAACCCAACCATATACCCTAGCCCCTAACACCTAACCCTAACCCTAAACTTATCCCTCTGGAGATATCTCTGAACTGCAAGATAATAGGCACGTAAAATCACACTGGCCCTAACCCTTATTCTGGTCCTAAACCAAACCCTAATCCTAGATATGATAACTAATCCTAGGTATATATATACCTCATCATTTTCCATATATATACATATATATATATATGAAAATTTAAGATACATATATGAAAATTACTCATAAAAAATAAAAAAGAATGAAATCTTGCCATTTGCAATGACATGGATGGAACTAGAGTATTATTGTAAGTGAAATAAGTCAGTCAGAGAAAGACAAATATTGTATGATTTCACTCACATGTGAAATTTGAGAAATAAAACAAATGAGCAAATAGAAAAAAAACAAGGCAAACCAAGAAACAGACTTAACTATAGAGAACACACTAATGATTACCAAAGGGGAGATGGTTGGGGGTTATGAGTTAAATAGGTGACAAGGATTAAGGAATGCACTTGCGATGAGCACTGAGTTTTGTATGGAAGTTGAATCACTATATTATACAGCAGAATCTAATAATACACTATATATTAACTGGGATTAAAATAAAGTAAAAAAAAAAAAAAGAATTTCAAGGTGGATATGGTCAATTAGTCTTCAACAAAAGAGGCAAGAATATGCAATGGGAAAAAGACAGTCTCTTCAACAAATGGTGCTGGGAAATCTGGACAGAATGAAACTGGACAGAATGAAACTTACAGAATATACAAAAATAAACTCAAAGTGAATTTAAGGCCTAAATGTGAGACCTGAAGCCATAAAAATCCCAGATGAGGGGCGACTGGGTGGCTCAGTCGGTTGAGCATCCAACTTTGGCTCAGTCGTGATCTCATGGTTTGTGAGTTTGAGCCCTGCATCGGGCTCTCTGCTGTCAGCACAGAGCCCACTTCAGCGTCTCTGTCCCCCACTTCCTCTCTGCCCCTCCCCCACTTTCACAAACTCTCACAAAAAAAAATTTTTTTTAAAAAACAAAAACAGAATCATAAATGAGAGCACAGGCAGTGATTTCTCTGACATCAATCATAGCAACATTTTTTGTAGATATGTCTCCTGAGGCAAGGGAAACAAAAGCAAAAATATACTATTTAGACTACATCAAAACAAAAATCTGCAAAGCAAAGGAAACAATCAACGAAACTAAAAGAGAACCTACTGAATGGGTTAAGGTATGTGTAAATGATATATCTGATAAAGGATTAGTATCCAAAACATATAAATAACTTATACAACTAAACATAAAGAAACCAAAATAATCCAATTCAAAATGGACAGAAGACATGAACAGACATTTCCCCAAAGAAGATATACAGATGGCCAACAGACACATGAAAAAATGCTCAATATCATTCATCAACAGGAAAATGAAAATCAAAACTATAATGAGATATCACCTCACACCTGTCAGAATGACTAAAATAAAAAAACATAAGAAACAAGTGTTGGCATGGGTGTGGAGAGAAAGGAACCCTGGTGAGAATGCGAACTGGTACAGACACTGTGGAAAACAGTATGGAGTTTCCTCAAAAAGTTAAAATAGTCAAAATAGAACTACCCTATGATTCAGTAATCACACTACTGGGTATTTACTGAAGAGACACAAAAACATTAATTCAAAGGAATACATGACCCTCTATGTTTATTGCACCATTATTTGCAATAGCCAAATTATGGAAGCAGCCCAAATGTCCATCAATAGATGAATGGATAAAGGAGATGTGGTATATATACACAATGGAATATTACTCAGCCATAAAAAAGAATGAAATCTCACCATTTGCAACAACATGCATGGAGCTGAAGAGTATAATGCTAGGCAAAATCAGCTAGTCAGAGAAAGATAAATATGTTTTCATTCATATGTGAAAGTTAAGAAACAAAACAAATATACAAAGGACAAAAGAAGACAGAGAGAGACACACAAACCAAGAAACAGACTCATAACTATAGAGAATAAATTGATGGTTACCAGAGGGGAGGTGCATGGGGCGGGGGCAATGGGTGAAATAGGTGATGGGGATTAAAGAGTACACTGATCATGATGAGCAATGGATGATGTATAGAATCGTAGAATCATGACGTTGTACACCTGAAATTAACATAACACTGTATGTTAACTATACTGGAATTTAAAAGCTTAAAAAAAGTTTTTTAAAGAATTTCAAGGTGGTGACAGGAGATCATTAAGCCAAGTACGGGGCCCTTCAGCCCAGGGGCCTGTTTGATTGCACAGTCCACATGCCCATGAAGCCATCCTTGACCACACCTGTACATTCCTGCAGAGAATTTCAGCAACCTGAGAAACTATGCTCTATTTCAGTTGCTTTCTGTGGCACCTCTTCTTTTATGTGCACATCCCCATGCATTTTTCTATCTTTAGCCATTAAAATAGCTCAGATTATTGATCTCTGTGCATCAATCACATTCCCAGATCACCATAACACACTAAGGGAACAGGAAATTGAGCAATCCCACTCATGCTATCAGAGGGCTGCTAGTTCTCAACTTTTATAAGGGTCCTGAAAGAAGTGAAAGGCAGACAACTTTCCAGAACTTGGCAACACCTTGCATCAAGCAAGGGAGAGACTCCTCTAGGCACCATTCCCCAGAATCTTGGCTCCTAGAGCAAGCTAAAGAGTTTTGCCCAAGTTCACTGGTCCCTATAAAAGCAGGGGGTAGGGAAGCCAACGATGACAACCTCACCACAACACTGCCCCCCTACCCTACTCTCTCATCAGTGCATTCAGTGGGACAACCAGCTCACCACCAGTATGTACCTGCTCTCTGGTCTTGCTGGGGCTCCAGGCCAGTCCACTCCAAGAGGTGGTAAAGAGCTCAGGCAACTTGTAGTAATTTTTTTTGAAAATTAATATAGAGCCACAGCTATCTGAAAGGAAGCAGTGATACTGCTTCCGATAGCTTCTACGAAAGTCACAGCTTATCATATATTACTCTAATTAGGGTGACCACAGAAATTCATTAGCCAAAACTGGGACTTTTTAGGAATGAAAGGAGGGACTGTTAATAATTTTGCCAGGAAAGTAGGCATAATCTAGGACTGTCTCTGACATGCTGAGACACATGGTAATCACCTCTTTGTTTTCTACAAAGCTCATGCAAAAGTCACCGTTCCCTAGTTCATATGTGCCCAGTTTGTTTTTCTATCCAAATTATTTGCGTATGTAGTTTATACAACCTGTGCTTTCATTAGAGAGAAAGAGAGGGAGAGAGAATCCCAAGCAGGCTCCACACACTGTGAGCACAGAGCCCTATGCAGGGCTTGAACTCACAAACTGTGAGATCATGACCTGAGCTGAAATCAAGAGTTGGATGCTTAACCTACTGAGGCACCCAGGGGCCCCTGACCTGTGCCTTTAAACTAGTTAACTCTATCTGTGCTTGACTATCCCTCTAACTTTTAAGGGCATTTTGAGTTCAAATTTTAGCCAAATTCGAATTGCTAACTTTTCTCTTCGTTTCCTACTCAATAGTAGACCTAACTAGAAATATGATTCAACTGGCTTTAAGTCATATAAAACTCCCCTAATTGGTAAAATTTCAACCTTCCCTTTTTAAATGTTCTGTTGTTCATGACAATGACCCCAGCCTCTTAAAACAATCAGTCGTCAAAGAGCAATTAAAAACTAGTAAGATTTAAACTCACAGATGGACAGTCCAAAATTAATTCTTCAATGGTTACCAAGTCCAGGCCAAGCTTCTCCGCTAGAATTTCAAATATATATTTGTATGAAGGGTCAATTTTCGTTTTCCGATTTTCCCTTGCTTCTCTAAATCTTGCCTAAAGAATGAAAACCACAGGGAAAAATTGTTAATTATGGGAAAAGACCACCAAAAAAATTAGTGTGACATAAAAGTGACACTTGAAAAATCTTATTATAAGCAAAACCTGTCTCTCTTTTAATGTTTCCTGGAGATTTGGAATGCCGCTCATGCTTCGATGATATCGGGATGATTTTCGGGAAGACTGGGAAAGCACTTCAGAAAGCAGGGATTGGCCCAGTCGTACTGCAGACTTAGGTCGAACTCTATATCCACCTTGCTCATCATGCTCAGAAGCAGGGACGTTCAGAAAATCACTTCCAGAAAGAGCAGGATCTCTTTCAGAAAGAGAGCCAGTTTCTACCGTGGAGGCTGCCCCTGTCACAGAGAGCGGAGCCTCGTCGTCCAAAGGAGGAGGGGCCTCTTCTCCTGGAGGGGGCGGAGCCTCATCTCCCGGAGGGGCGGTACCTTCTGAACCAGGGGGTGCTGTCTCTCCAGAAGAGGGAGGAGCTTCTTGCCAAGAGGGTGGACCACCTTCTTCAGAGCTCATGTTGGCCGTGTTTTCCTCCCACCGGGCACCTGAATCTTCAAAACCTAGAATTATACAATGTTTTCTTGTAAAACTGTACAAAAAATGGAATGTTCTGTGTTAATTTATTCCTCCCCTTGAGCCTGGACAGGTAGCAAAATCATCTATTTCTCCCTTCCTACATTAACTGAAGAAGCTAAGCTCACAGGACTAGAGAATGATTTTTTAACGAGGGACAGTACACATATACCTAGGGCCCTTTTGAAACTATAAGAGCTCCTCCTGACTATGATATGCCTCTAGGGGACTGCCACTCCACACACATCCCATCCCTGTCATAGTAATTACTGCACCTGATGGGAAGGTACCTGTCCTCAGGTATGTAAGTTAAGGGCTGAAAAACGATTGAAAGCCACAGCATTAGAGCTGAGATACTGACTTGTCCGAGAGACAAGGCAAAGAACCACACGGACGGAAATATTCCTTGCATGGAGGAACTCCGTGACACAATTCACTAATCACTCAACCGTCCAGCCATCTCATCTACATACGCATATCCAAGAACCGCCAGAAAGCATAAAACCTCCTCTTAGCAGTGTGAAAATTAATAAAAGGAAACCTCATTTAGTATGTTTTCGGAAGGCCAGCAGGGGGAAGCTCTCACATCCTACCAGCCCTACCACTGGTTGTGAATTGCAGACCAAATAGCAAGAGCCTGACCTTGTACATGGATACTACTTTCCTATCCCGCAGGATTTATGAAAGACTTTCCCTTCCCCCAGCAATAGCCCAGGCAATGACAGGCTGTCACAACTCAGCCAATGAAAAGCCACTATACTTCCAGCTCCCAGCTTACTCCAATGGACTTTTTGTTTATAACAGCATCCCCCTAAAATGTGACTGTGGCTATTTATTAAAGCAATGGTATCATATAAAGTATAAATCTGACCTACTCAATCAGAAAAGCTCTATATACAGGAATACAGAAGTTATCATGAGCACATTAAGCAGGAAAATTAGGAGACACCAGTGGAACAGGAGAAAATGTCAGTTATAGAGAAAGAAACCACATTATAGGACAATAATCAAACTTCCATCGAAATAAACAAGTTTTCAGGATATGGCTAAGATCCAGAAGCCAGGGTAATAGTAAACACTTGAAGAACACAACAACATAAAATTCCAAAGCAGAGACTTCAAAAGAAGACAGAGAAAGAGGCTTTTTAATGAGAAATTCTGAGGACACTGGTGCACACCTGGCCTAAGTAAGCCGGTCCTTCTTGTGGAGGGACATGAGCAGCCCTCCATAAGACAGAGACAGCCTGTAACCTGCACCCCACAGCTGCCCCCTCCAGCTTTTCCAAAGATCCTATAAACAGCTGAAATGGTTTTCTTTGATATCCTAAATTGGCCTACTCAAGAACAGAAATACCCCAACTGACCTACCTTTTTGCTGCCAGCTAAGCACTCGTGGCCAAGACATGCAAAAAAGAACAACTGTTCCCAAACCAACTGCAGACTTTTTTTTTCTCATCCCCCTTTCCTCTCTCTTTTATAAACCTCTCTCCTCTCTCCTTTATAAATTCCAGGTTTTGTCTTTGTTCCTTGACCACAATCTAATGTATACTTTCTTCACATGTGAGTACATTTGCTTGGAAAGTAACTAAGTAAACATCTCTGAGTTATTTTTGCACATAATGATCTGCAATACCCAGGAGTTGTGGGGCCCCTGGGTGGCTTGGTCAGTTAAGGGTCCGTCCCACTCTCAATTTTGGTTCAGGTCACCATCTCACGGTTCATAGGATCAAGTCCCATGTCAGGCTCCATGCCGACAGCACAGAGCCTGCTTGGGATTCTCTCTCCAACTCTATCTGCCCCTCCCTCGCTCTCTCGATCTCTCTCAAAATAAATAAATGAACCTAAAAAAAATACCCAGGAGTTGTGTTTGCATTATCTTGGCCTAGAGGAGTTAATTGTACTATCTATAGTAGCTCAAGAACAAGTATAATGATACATACTAGGGAAGTCATATCAACTGCTTGTCACTCTGTTCTAATTTATGCTTTTGAATTCTGCAAAACAATTCACTTTACTCAGTAGGAGAATCATGCCCATTCTCAAAGGATATTGTCAGGCATGGTTGTCTAGTTTCTGAAACCAAAGCAAAATTTACTTAAATTTCAATATAATGGTAAAACACATACACTGACTAAGCTCACTAGCACTAGAGAGATTCTCTGTAGGCAACCAGTGCTCTTTCTAGAACCACCATTATTTATACCACTATAGAGTCACTATTATTTAAGTCATCAAGGAAAGGTGAAAATTAAATCATGATAGTATGTTTAAGAAGTCAGGGAAGTATTCAATTAATCTTAATGATTTTTTTCATCTAAAAATGGCCACTATTTTTTTTTAAGGGTTGGCACAGATCAAATTTTCAGAAAACGTTATTATCCAACACAGTTCATTCCCTGAGGAGTCCAGATTTCTGAGATTCATGGCACATAATTTCAGAACTAGAAAAAAAAAACCTTAGAAAGTATATAGTTCAGCTCTCCCTTTTTACTGCTAATGAAACTAAGACCCACAGAAGTCATAGGTCTTACCCAATCACACAGACAAAAATGATCTTTCTAAATATCAGATCATATCATATCACTGCCCTACTTCCGGGTGCCAAATACAAACTCTTGTGTCCTCCATGGCTTTCCTGACTCAGTTCCAATCTCTCCAGTTTTCTTCCATTGCCTTTGCCCTGGGCGTTGCCTGAGGTCACAGCAGCTCTGGCAGTTTCTGAAAAAAAGCACTGTTCTCTCACCTCTAGTCATTGGCTGAGTGCTCACAGCCTAACGAAGGAAGCAAACATACCAACCCTTAAAGTTTCATTACAGTGAGCCAAGGTGTGCACGAGAATCTGTAGCATCAGAGGAGAAAACTCAAGAAGGAAATCTCTAAGGAGGAGCTGTCATTTAAGGTAAGTCTTGGTAGGGTACATATGAGTTCCATGGAGAAGACTGGGGAAGTCATATTAATTGTCAACAATTAAATGCCAAGTTCTATGGTTGGGGAGATGTATAACAATGCTTGATAAATACATATATTTATATATATATAACACATGACCAACAAGCACATGGAAAAACACTCAATGCTCAACTAAGACAATGCAGATCAAAACCACCAGGAGATGGCACTTTACACCCACTAGGATGGCTATACATCTTTTAAAAATTTTTGTATTGTCTATTTATTTTTGAGACAGAGCAAGCATGTGTGTGTGCACGCGAAGGCTGGGGAGGGGCAGAGAGGCGGGGGGGGAAAGAGGATATGAAGCAGGCTCTGTGCTGACAGCAGAGAGCTTGATGCAGGCCTTGATTGAACTCATGAACCATGAGACCATGACCTGAGCCAAAATCAAGAATGACTGAGCCACCCAGGTGCCCCTAAAAAAATTTTTTTAAGACAATAAAAAGTGTAGAGAAGGTTGTAGAGAACTGTAAATCTGCATCCATTGCTGGTGGGAATGTAAAATAGTACAGTCTCTGAGGAAAACAGGTTGGCAGTTAGTTTCTCAAAAACCTAATCACAGAATGACCACATGAGCCAGTAATTCCAGTCCAGGGTAGAATTTTACCAATTCCACGCAAGAGAATTGATAACATCTGTTCACACAAAAATCTGTAGGTAAATGTTCATGGCATACCTTGAAATGTGGCATACCTTATAATGGAATATTATTCTGTCATAAGAAGGCATGAAGGACTGTTACATGCTAGAGCAGGGATGAACCTTGAAAACACCACACTAAGTGAAAGAAGCCAAACACAAAAGGCCACATATTGTATGAATCTTTTTATATGAAATATCCAGAAAAGGCAAATCTATAGAGACAGAAAGTATATCAGAGGTTGCCAGGGGATAGGGAAGGAAGAACTGGGCCTAATGGCTAATAGGCCTGAGTGTCTTTTTTGGATAATAGAAATGCTCTGGGATTAGATAGCGATTATTTATGGTTGCACAACACAGTGAATATAATAAAAACCATTGAAGGCTATGCCTTAACATGGTGAACTTTATGTTATGTGAAATAAGCTTATAACTCAATTTTAAAATGCTGTTTTTAGGGGAGCCTCAGTGGTTCAATCCATTAAGCTACCGGCTCCTGATTTCAGCTGTGATCATGTTCTCACAGTTAGCGAGTTTGAGCCCTGCATAGGGGCTCCACACTGTTGGAGCCTGCTTGAGATTCTCTCTCTCTCCCACTCTGTCTGCCCCTCCCCTGCTCTCGTTCTCTCACTTAAAATAAATAAATAAACTTAAAAAAACTGTTAACAGGGTGCCCGGGTGGCTCAGGCGGTTAAGAGGCTAACTTCAGCCTCTCAGCTCATGATCTCAGGCGTGGTCTGTGAGCTCAAGCCCCCCATTGGGCTCTGTGCTGACAGCTCAGAGCCTGGAGCCTGCTTCTGATTCTGTGTGTGTCTCTCTCTCCACCCCTCCCTTGCTTGCTGTCTCTCTTTCTCTCTCTCAAAACTAATAAACATTAAAAAAATAATAATAATGAAGTAAAAAATTGTTAAAAAAAACAAATAAAATGCTATTTAAAAAAAACGATAAACACTGCAGTAAGGAAATGACCAATTTATTGACCATCTGTCAGGAGGCTTTAGTTTGGAAAATTTCCCCTCAAACCCACCAGG